TTTATACATCCTAACTTATCCTCTGAAACTTTCTTAGTACACTGTGTTGTCCATTACTGTAATTCTAACATTGTGAAGTCTAACTTCATCCTACTTGAATCTCAATCCATCCCAACATCTTTTGTAGCTCAGACACAAACCTCTTTGCAACTTCAAATGCTAAGCTGTGTTTAAGAAATAGATAAGTATGTTAATAATCAGGAGGGATCAATGTACTACTCCAAAAAGGGTTGACCTGCACATATCATGACAACTTCAACGTGCCCAAATCATTCAATAATTATAACAAGTGAGTTAGTCAAGATCCAGAAATTTTTAAGAACTGGTAATCATTAATAAAATGATTGTGCAGAAGCTTTTTAGTTTAGTATAGTCCCATTTGTCCATTCTGTTTTGGTCATTTGTAGTTTTAGCCATAAAATCGTTGCCTACACCAACATCATGAAGTGTTTTTTCTATGTTTTCTTCTAGTGATTTTATGGTTTTAGGTCTTATTTTAAGTCTGTAATCCATCTTAAGTTGATTTTTGAATATGTTGAGAGATAGGGATCCAGTTTCAATCTCTTCTATATGGATATCCAATTTTCCTAGCACTATTTACTGAAGAAGGTATCCTTTTCCCAATGTACATCGTTTTGGTCTTTGTCAAAGATCATTTGGCTATATTTCTGGCTTCTCTATTCTGTTTCATTAGTCAATGTGTCTGTTTTTATACCAGCACAACACTGTTTTGGTTACTTTTGCCTTGTACTATATTTCAAAGTCAAATAGTGTGATGCTTCCAGCTTTGCTCTCTTTATTCAGGATTGATTTTCCTATTTGGGCTCTTTTTTGATTCCATGTGAAGTGTAGAATTTTTTTTTTTTTTTTTTTGTGAAAAAAGATGCTGGTACTCTGATAGAGATTGTCTTGAATCTGTAGATTGCTTGGGCAGTTTGGTCATTTTAATGAGATTAATTCTTATAATCCATGAGAATGGGATTTTTTTTCTATTTGTTTATGTCTTTTTAAATTACTTTTATCAGCGTTTTGTGGTTTTCCTTGTAGAGATATTTTAACTCTTTCATTAAATTTATTTCTAGATATTTTTAATAGCTATAGTAAATTAGATTGTCAGACAAAATACTTACAAACTATTCATCTGACTAGGGACTAATATCTGGAATATTCAAGGAACTCAAACAACTCAACAGTAAAAAAAAATAAATAATTCCTTTTAAAAGTGGGTAGGTTGTCTGTTTGCTCTAATGACAGTTTCTTTGGCTGTGCAGAAGCTTTTTAGTTTCATGAGGTCCCATTTATTTATTTTTGTTGTTATTGTGATTGCCTTTAGGGTCTTCTTCATAAATTCTTTGCCTAGGCCAATGTCTAGAAGAGTGTTTTCAATGTTTTTGTCTAGAATTCTAATAGTTTCATACATTAGGTTTAAGTTTGTTACCCAATGTGAGTTGATTTTTGTGAGAGGTGAAAGGTGTGGATCCTGCTTCAATCTTCCACATGTAGCTATGCAGTTTTCCCAGCACCATTTATTGAATAAGGATTCTTTCCCCCAGTGTATGTTTTTGTCTCCTTTGTCAAAGATCAGATGGTTATATGAGGATGGTTTTATATCTGGGTTCTCAGTTCTGTTCCACTGGTCAATGTCCCTATTCTTGTGCCAATCCAAAGCCGATTTAATTACTACAGCCTTGTAGTACAGTTTTAAATCTGGAAAATTGATATCTACCATTTTGTTTTTATTGCGTAGAATTGCTTTTGAAATACAGGGTCTTCTCTGGTTCTGTACGAAGCGTAAAATTATTTTCTATATATCTGTGAAAAATGATGTTAGTATTTTAATAGGGATTGCAGTGAATCTGTAGATCCCTTTGAGTAGTATAAACATTTTAACAATGTTGATTCTGCCGAACCACGACCGTGGTATGGATTTCCATCATACCATCTGTTTATGTCCTTTGCTATTTCCTTCCTCAGTGTTTCATAGTTCTCCCTGTAGAGGTCTTTTATCTCCTTAGTTAAATATATTCTTAGGTACTTTATGTTCTTTGTTGCTATTGTGAAGGGTATTGAGTCACCAGAGCAAACAGACAACCTACAGAATAGTAGAAAATTTTTGCATGCTACATATCTGATAAGGGGCTGATAACTAGAATCTATTTAGAACTCAGGAAAATCAGCAAGAAAAAATCAAACAACCCTATCAAAAATGGGCAAAGGACATGAATAGAAACTTTTCAAAAGAAGACAGAATAATGGCCAACAAACATATGAAAAAATGCTCAACATCTCTAATCATCAAGGAAATGCAAATCAAAACTGCAATGAGATATCACTTATCTCCAGTAAGAATGACTTTTATGAAAAAGTCTGAAAACAATAAATGTTGGTGTGGATGCAGAGAGGTAGGAACACTCTTACACTGCTGGTGGGATTGAAAACTAGTGCAACCTCTGTGCGAAGCAACATGGAGATACCTTAAAGTGATACAAGTAGATCTACCATTTGATCTAGCAATGCCACTACTAGGCATCTACCCAAGAGGACAAAAGACACTCTATAAAAAAAGACACCTGTACTCAAATATTTATAGCAGCACAATTCACAATTGTAAAGTTGTGGAAACAACCCAAGTTCCTATCAATCCATGAGTGGATTAATAAAATGTGGTATATGTATACCATGGAGTACTATTCAGCTATAAGAAACAATGATGATATAGCACCTCTTGTATTTTTCTGGATAAAGCTGGAACCCATTCTACTAAGTGAAGTATCCCAAGAATGGAAAAACAAGCACCACTTGTAGTCACCAGCAAATTGCTTTCACTGATCAACACCTAAGTGGACATATAGGAATAACATTTATCGGGTGTCAGGCAGATGGGAGGGCAGAGGAGGGGATGGGTATATACATACATAATGAGTGTGAGGCACACTGTCTGGGAGATAGTCACACTTGAAGCTCTGACTTGAGGGGTCAGGGAGGGTAAGGGCAATATAGGTAACTTTAACATTTGAATCCCCATAATATGCTGAAATAAAAAAAATTGGGTAAAGGGCACGAATAGGAATTTCTCAAAAGAAGTCATACAAATAACTAATAGGTATATAAAAAAAATTCCTCAACATCACTAATCATCAGAGAAGTACAAATCAAACCCGCAATCATGTATTATCTTACACTACTTAAAATGGCCATTACTAAAAAGACAAAAAATAATAATAAAAATAATAAAAAAGCAGATGCTAGTGAACATTCAGAAAAAAAGAGAACTCTTATACACTGTTGGTGGGAATATAAATTAGTATAGCCATTGTGGAAAACAGTATGGAGATTTCTCAAAAAATTAAAAACTAAAAATAGAACTACCATAGAATTCAACCATCCCACTGCATGGTACTTATTCAAAGAAAAATAAATCACTACACCGAAGGGATACCCACACTAACATGCTTCTTGGAGCACTATTCACAGTAGCAACCTAAGTGTCCATCAATGGATAAATGCACAAAGAAAAGGTAGCATATATACACAATGGAATATTATTTGGCCACACAAAGGAATTAAATGATGTCATTTGCAACAACATGGATGGAACTGAAGGTAATTTTTTTAAGTAAAATAAGCCAGGCGCAAAAAGACAAATAGCCCATTCATATGTTGGAGCCAAAAAAGTGGATCTGATGGAGGTAGAGTGTAGAATGATACATACCAGAGGCTGGGAAGAGTGTATGGGTGAGACAGGAGGATTAAGAGAGGTTGGTCAATGGGTACAAACATGCAGTTAAATAGAAGGTATAAGTTCTAATGTTAGGTAGCAGAGTAAGGTAACTATAGTTAGCAAGAATGTATTGTATAGTTCAAAGTAGCTAGAAGAACAAAAAGGAAATGTTATCAACACACAAAAATGCTACATACCCAGGGCGATGGATACCTTACATGCCCTAACTTGATCATTACATGCTCTGTGCCTGTAACATAATATCACATGTACCCATATGTATGTAAAATATTATGTATAAATCAAAATATAAAATGATGAAGGAAAAAAATAAACTGACAACCTTGGTGCCCCCAAAATGGTATGATCTCAGTTTATCTTTCTTCATTTGAAATACTACATTAAAATATTTGCATATGTAAAGATAGTTTTATATGGAGGATGAAGAGACATCCCTTTACCACTTATCCCCTACATTTTGAAACCTAAAGCCAAGCTCTCCAACTGTATTCTCCAAAGGCTTATGTATAATATGCTTTTGAGCTGAATATCAGGGAGAGCTTAAAACAAATTCCTACCAGTAATTGTTTTTCTGATGAAATTAAATGGCACAGCATTTCTTATCTAAAACATGCACTGATCCTATTTAAACACAATGGGAGAGAGTATATAATTAAATATATTGATTAGCTATTGCAGAGATTTTAGTAAAATTGAAGTTTACTTAAAAAATATACAAAATATCAGGAGCTGAAATACATTTAAATGAGATGTACTTCCTCAGAGACAAAAATGGTAAGTATTCCTTGCACACAGACACCATTTACTTTGTTTTAGTGGTTATTGATCTCTTCATCAGTGCTGGTCAGTTACATTACAGCTATAGTTAAGTTATGGTGACTCATAAAAGAGCCATAATTGGAAGACAATGCGCTTTCCAGATATTCAGTGAGATGCTTTCTTTAGGCAAAACAGACAGTATTTCCTCGGTTTGGTTGCAGCATTCTTTTCGTGTAAGTATTGACATCTGGTAATTTTAACTTGGCCTTGCTGATTAACAAGGAAAAGTATCATTTGCCATGTTTATGTAGTAAAAAAGAAAAAAAAAACACACACTACTATTAAAAGTATATCTCATCAAGCTGCTATGTAATGTAAGCTACTAAAAATCTAATCACCTGAAAAACAAAAACATGAAATGAACTTTTAACATTTTTACTTTGTTTATATAGATTCGAAAGAGTGTTTTAAAATCATATTGCTGTGCAAAGTGGTATCCATGCATGTCCTGGAGTATGAGCTGATCAATCAGTCTCCCATGATGTTTGGTTGGTGCTTATTTTTGTTCCAGATGTTATATATGTTGAATAGCATTCCTGCTTTGAGGGGCCTGAATATATGTAAAAACCAAAACAACAAATAGGGTGTTCTCACCTCCCCCCCAAAACAATTCATGCTGCTGTTATGTCTCTATTGGCTAGTCATAGGGCCCCTGACTTTTCTTCCTTCTTCCAATCTAGGGCCCTACAATTGTCCTGCCATGATACAAGCTGAGAGAGAGTTTTGAACTGCTAATCTGACCTTGCTATCACCACTCTATGCCAAATCCCTTTAACGGCTTCCCTATTCATTTTGGATAAATTCCAGACTGCTTGTGTAATCAAGTCCCAGAATTCTTTAGCATCAACTCACAATGTAGTCTTCTGCTTTGGACACAATAAGGAACTTCTCTCCACTGAATAGGGTGTGGGGCATGCTGCCTCCTGCTCCAGGGCTGTTGTCCTGACTGCATCTCATAGATACACCCCATACCATGCCCATGCGGTCATCCCAGCCCATGGATTTCTTTCACCTTAATCAACAATTCTTTGGCTTCCTTGATCCCCTAATTTTAAGCTAGTTCTCTTAACTTAGGTATCTTTTCTTTATAACTATTATCTAAATTTGAATCAAGTATATATCTATTATATTAATGTGAGTATTTTACTAAATTATTTTCCCATATAGACTGTAAGCTCTATGTGAGCAGGGTCCTTGAAACCTATGAATAATTTTGATCATCACCATGAACTCAAAGCCTAGGACAGTGATTGCAGGGGATATATATTTAATGAATAAATGTTTGCCCTTTTGAGTAAGCAGAATTTTATAACCTTTTAATTAATTATGCTTTAAATTACAGGGACCAACTTCCTTTTTATAAACAAATTTTAAGTTATGACATTATTGGTTGATTTGTTGAGTTAAATATATTAATTCTAGAATTTATTTTAAATCATAAAAATAATGATTTGATTTACAAATAACCAATGAGACATAAAAATTAACAGAGTGATAGCAAAGGAATCTCTCTCCCCATCAAAAAAATGATATCAGGTTTTCTATAAAGATGTTTTTATTTAAATCAAGTTTAAATTATAATAATAATGCATTCTAAAATGCTAAACAGAAGTCCTAATATAGGTGATATATTGAAAGCTTCTTTACTACAAAATTTAATGAAAATATTATTGGAATAGCACAGTATAATATTATGAAAGAACAGGGTTTTCTCCCTCTAAATCCCAAAAGGAGTCAAAACAAGTCATTTAAACAAAATATAGCAATTAATTATTTAATGATATTGTTATAAGGGCTAAATTACATACTAAATATAAATGAAAGATTTCAGAAAATGTAAGATATTAAAGTAACTTTATTTTCTGTTTTACAAACACTACGTATAAAACATCAAAATTATTCTAACTTTAGATTTTAGGATAAGTAAAAGAGATCAGTCAGTCATATCTTTACATATGTTAAATTGAGCCTGTTGTTTTAATATCAAACATACAATTAAAACATCCAACAGACCTGAAGACATACAAATTTAAATGGACAAAATATTATCATTTGGTTAATACTTAATAAGGTTTCGAAGTATTGCTTTTTTAGATTACTTTCAGTAGGAAGGATTCTATTCAAACTTTGAAATGTCTTTTGACTTTATATTTGAAAATATGCATGCATGTGCTTTCATGAAGTAGAGAGAAATGATACATGCTTTCATCTGAGTTAGAACCAAACACATTATAGGCAGCTGCTCCGAGCTTTGTTATTACAATTTTGACCTGACATATGAGGTGGAAAATGTTGAGAGCATTAAAAGGCTGAACCACCTAGGTCCCTCAGCTTTTGACACCTCCTTCCCCCACAAAAAAGAAAAGTCATGTAATACCACATAAAATAATTCAAGTGTATGCATCTGTAGCAATCACTTGGTTACTTCCTACAACTTCAATAGATTTTCCAGAGCCTGATAAATTTTGAGGTCTATTTGACAGTCTAAAGTGGTCAAAACCTCATGACCACCACCCCTTGCTGTTTAGTTACTTTTCCTGTACTTAGACAATTTTTCAAAAGAATGAACTCTCATAAAGGGTCATGTTTTATAAAAGAGTCACTTTTCAAAGTGGAGTGAAATTTTCTGTTTCAAAGTGCTCTTCTGAGATTATCAGTATGAAATCTGAAGAGATATGATCCTTTAGACTGACTTTAGACTCATTCTGTTTAGATAACTATAACACAGAAGCATTATCTCAACAAGGATTCAAATCATTTCATAACTAATTTTCATCCTCCCCTCAAAAACCAATGCGCACGTCTTAAATTCTGCTTTTAATGTAAGCAGAACAGAGATGTTTGTCCCTACAAGTTTTCTTTCCGAAGAGAAGAAAAAAATGGTAACTGTTAAACAATAGAAAATCCAGCACCATTGAAATAAATGTGTGCTTGCTAAAGCAGTGTTTTCAGAGCCCTCATTTAGTCTTTAGCATGAGAAGAGAGTCCTGTGCCAGGGGGTATTCCAGACCTTTGGCACTGCTAGAATCTTATGGAGCTATAATCTCGTTTCCATAGATCTCAACTCAAGAAGGTCCTTTTTCTTGAAATTATGTTACAGTCTCTTTAAAAGCAGATTTGGAGAGATGGTATATGAAAATGTTTCAATGAATTATTAGCTAGCTTTACATTTTATGTAAATAATGTTTCCTATCATTGATATCTAATACACAAATAGAATTTATTTCCACACATTTGTCTGGCTTATTACTGTGCAAAATTATTATAAGTGTAAGTGTAAGAGAACTAACTGTTGCATTTTAAAAAGCTATTTAGAAAATTTTGGTGTAGATGATCATGAAGAGAATGTGTAGTCTATCCTTGGCTGGATAACATGGTGGATGGATACACTGGTCAGCACTTAGTGACATAAATGGCTAGATGTTCACTAAGGCTATTGTTCACCTTTGGGGAAAATGTAAACAAATTAAATAACTAGCTACTTGAGAGTGATTAATTTATATACTAAAGTACTATATAGCTATTAAAAGAAAGTAGTAAATTTGTGTACACTGATATGAAATAAGTACCTATAAATGCAGAGAGACACCTACCCATATGTTGTATAAGCATGGAAAAGTATTTAAAACAATGCATATCACTAATTACTTTCAGAGACTAAGAGAATATTTGAATTTATTATTAATATTTGAATTTGCTTTTTAAATATATCACAACTATCAATAAGCATTCAAAAATCATGATGGCAGCAAGAGGAGAGCTATAGGAAAAGGGCAACTTATATACGACAGAGTTGGGGAGAAGGCATCTTAAAAATCAAGGTAACAGGTGCAAAGTAGGACCGAAGACATAGGAGAAGAGAGATCTTTCCACTGACACATGATTTGATCTGGTCTTGTTGCATTTATAATGTATAATTAGATAATTCAGTTAAAATGTTCCCTTAAAATGAGAAAATACAACTTTTCTTACATAATAAATAAAAGATCAGATCTACTACCTGTGTTAGCTGATTTGCAGGTAATGCTGCCAAAAGTAAAACTAAAACTAATTCATAGTATAATAATAACAATAACAATAATCGTAATAATGGTTTTCTTCTCCCTCAAACTAAATTTCAATCATTGAGAAGTGTTCTATGTTTGGCTGTGGAGTTGGTAACAAAATACTAATATTGTCTTAATTTTTCTTTTTTAAAATTTTTCTTATATTTTTCTTTAACATTTAATCTTTCTTATTTTGTTCTCAGGGGAAAATATCTGTGAACTTTAAAAGTCAAGAACTACAGATGAATACACACACACACACACACACACACACATATATATATATATATTTAATCTCAGTTTTAATCGTATCTTTTCACAGGATTTTTGACTGCTGGCATTTATATTTGCTGTTTGCCTGGAATAATTGCTGCTTATTTAAAATGCTTTCAAATTCTAAATTGAAATATTGAATTACTGTTCACAATGAAGGTTTGGAATTTTCTTCAAGAGATGAGCATTTTTCTTTTTTTAACCTTTAAAGAAAACAAGTTTAAACATGGTGTGGTATATATTGCTGAAGCAACCACATTGCTTCTACAATTGCACACTCTTAACACTGTCTTTCAAAAATAAGTATCACTTGAGAAAGGGTAGCTGGGGTAGTGCATCTCTCCAGCCACGAACTATTTCTTCCCTGGGGATAGCATTTCCTTATTATGCCTTCCTGTCATCATCACCTTCTTCTTGTCTGAGCTCATCAACATTGCAGCCAAATTACTGTGCTGCTAAGTCACTGGGAAAATCAGGACCCCACACTAAGATGATCATCTTAGAAATGCACAAAACCCCAGAATGGATAAAGAGAGATCAAATATTTCAGAGAAAAAAGAGGAATGTTAGTCTAGATAGGTGGCCTAAATGTTTAGTCTGATTAGGAAAACTATTTTAAGCAGAAAATATAATTTGCCTTAATAATGAATCCAAACAAAATACCAACATATCTACCCTTAACCAAACTGACTATAGCAAATGAAATAGGGCTTAAAACATGGTCAATTTTGAATACAAAATAGCAGCTTTCTGAACACACATACATTTTTCTGTAAACGTATAAAAGCTGTGGGCATAAAAGATACGTCATATAGAAAAGATTTAGAAAACTAAGGTAACTTTTAAAATACATTTGTTTTTGCAAATACCTGAAATTCGTTATCTGCCATTCATCAAGAAAAGGGAGCAGTGAGAAAAAACTTTAAATGCAAAATGTGTAATTTCAATTTTGTTTTAGGCAACTATGGGTATGCCTTCTTTGTATATTTGTATAACACAACGAATGTGTAGCCTACAGCCAAAGGGATTGCATAAATTTTCCCCTGGCATAGCTACTATTTCCAACACTGCTCAAGAGGATATTGCATCTGCATTATGTATATATACACACATCTCAACATTCGTTAACATTAACATTTATTTTGTTTCCTGTTATGCCTGTGTATATG